TCAATCCCAAAATCTCTTGCTAAAATCGATTTCTGGTATGGACTTTAACTCAAGAGCATGCTGAAACGAATTTTATCTTTCTAATCATATCAAAACAATCATTTTAAACAGCTTAAATGAAATATTACACAGCAAGTGAAGATTGCAGAATTAACTCTATATATCAGTTTAATAATGAAATGAACTTGTATCTCAGAAGAAAAGTTTGTCTGCCACAAATGCATGTATACGGACTTGATCATCTAATTAAGGTAAAAAGGAGGAAACGAATTCTAAAGTCTTTGAAAGTTTTAAAAAAAAAAAAATTAAGAGTGAAGATAAAGAACCACCTACAGTGAGGATGATGAAGACATTGATGTAAACATCAAATACAAAATAAGCTCATGTTAGGAACAATACTAAGACTATTCAGTAATGTTTTTCCTAGGATACTCATTCGAATTTTACATAATGCTGAACAGTTACGGAGAAAATGCTCAATCGTCTCCTCCCTCTCATCATAGCAACTCCAACAAAAGTAATTTGAGAAAGCAAGAGTTTAAATACGGCAGAGCCTATGCCTATCAGATAGTGACCTGTTTTAATGTCCATTAAAGTCGCGAGACCTGTTATTACCCCCATCAAGACTACTAAGGTAGTTTAAATATTTTTTATTTTTGTTGTCCACTTCTAGACATACTAGCCGTTTACTACTTTACCTTATTTTTAATTTCTGACTTGGTTAAGATGGTTTAGACATGTGGTTTACTATCCGAGTATATACATACTTTTCTTCCAAAACAACGCATTTCTGTTTATAAGGATACCGCCACCTTAGAATAGTAGCAGTATTCACTTCTCTTGTTTGTAAGAATTGAAGCTATTAGTAATCTTTGAGAGATTCCGTTTTTCCAGTCATCACGATTTATTCTGAACAACTTTTTCTCCATTATCTTATATGCCGATAAAGCATACTTCTCGAAATTTCATACTTCTAAAAAAAGTGTAATTGCATTAAGCTGTTATAACCTGTAAGATATCTTATATATAATATCTATTAAGTCAGCAAAGGTAGATAGTTAAATTACGTGCCCTATTGAAATTGTTCGGCATTGTATTCTTGAGAACTTATGTTATCATTATATATGGATCACTATTGTGGAACTTTGTTATTAATTTGATTTTATTGTATTTGTCTTTGTGTGCCTTCGAACTATTTGTCATAGCATTTTCTCATTTTGTTTGAGACACACCGAAATCGAAAATATACTTCAAAACCTATTAATTATTTTTTCTTCGATTTAATCTATAAATTATAATAATAAATAAATAAAAAATAAAAAATATCTTTTGTAAGAAAAGTACTTTAACATATTTATTTTCCATATTTATTTAAATTATTTTTATTTTATTAAGTTGGTTCATTATTTCAAATATTCAGTCATAAAATAAAGAATCGTTTCGGAACGAGTTTCCTAAAAACTAAAAAGAATGTCAAATGAGAGACTTTATTTTGGAAGTGAGTCAGCGAATATATAAATTCTGTAATATTTGGTATATTTGGTTCAGTGTCTTCTATATTACCAACGCGTCTGGTCGATTGTTAAATTGATTTAAGATATACGTTTCAAAAAAAAAAAATTAAATGTTTTCAATATCAAATTTAATTAATTTATTTCCAGTTATAATAATTTTATTATATATCATGACGAATATCTCTGCACATCCTGTGGTCGATCATTTGTACAGCAGAATTGGTGCTCTAAACCTAATTTCGGGATCAACGTATTTTCATCCTTATAAAAACTTAATGATTAATTCAATTTAAAATAAAATTACAATTTATTAAATATTTTTAAATAAAAACTTTAATCAAAAGCTTAAATGAACTTATTTAAAATTTATGAATGTGACACGATTCCGATAGCCCGGATATCCTGATTTAGTAATGGACAACTCAAGACAACTACTTTGAGCAACTTTTTTCTTAACACTGTATACCTACTTAGCACACTTTTTGAGACATCCAGATTTAAAAGTTAAAGGTCGTTTTTGATACTTGGTAACTCAAACACAAAAGAGTTTATAAATCCAAATCTTTTCATTTGTTTTTCAATATTATGTGACAATTCTCATATTCGTTGAGTTACCTGGCATACCAATTTGAATTTCAGTAAGATCAGCTATTCTGAATAATTTATTCAGCTTTGCAGCATCAATCATCAAAAGCCTAAGTCAGTTTTAACCCACTAAAAACATATCCTTATGTCCGGACGGAAAATCCCTCCTGGAACTACCGTAAAGTATTACATCAGAAGGCGTCCTGAACATCAGCTCAAATCATTAGTTATGCCATCCAATTTCGTTCCTGTCTGAGGAGATCTCTCTTGCAGCGCGTTCGCTGGCACGAAATCGTTCAATGACTCTAAGTTGAGTCACGATCCTCATGGTAGCGGTCGATATCATTCACAATGTATCCGGTGAGCTTATCTGCTCCAATTTCGTTGAAACATGGGCAAGAAAAAAGAGCGTGGTTTGCATCCTCAACGACTCTCACACAGTTGAGATAAAATGGATCCTCTTTGTGCTTTAAGCGGTGAAGATATTGTTAAAGAGACAAGCGTCAAACCACTTGCTTTACTCTTATTTGTGAAATAAAAATAAACAAAATATTTTATATTCATTTAAAAACAACTTATATAAAGTCAATCTATAAATGTATATAAAAATCAATGTGAAAATGTGATTAGTATTCGGTTTAGATAGCAATTCTAGTTATTGTAACATTTTATTTCGTGAACAAAACTAAAATGGAAACAAATAATTATTTACTGCCTCTTGAGTGATTCAACTAGCACTGAAGCCAGTACTTCAAAAAAACTTTTTAAATAAATAACAGTTAATGAATTAATGGTGAATGACAATGTGATGTAGGGAAAGTTGGGTGTATAAACTACATTAAATATATTCTCAAAATATTAAATTCATTTTATTGTGTAAAAGAAAATAAATAAATATATTTTATTTTAATAAAATAGTTATATACAAAAATATTCTTAATGAATATTGGAGTTAAGCAACTTCTCATTCTTTTTTTCTTGTTAAAAAGAAACACCAAACCACTACACACTCTTTATCTGCTGCCCAAGTGAAAAATTTAATTATAAACCAAATTGGTTTGTGTACTTGCTTATGTGGCGCGAAATAAAACACAATTAGTTTTGTACTAGTACACGCTAGATGGCAGAGAAGCTTAAATTCGAATGTTATACAAAGGTTTGTGTTAATGCTAAAATGTAATGTGAACTAACAACAGGGAATCTAAGACCGTAACATTATAGAGACGAATAGACCGTAAGATTATAAAAACTGTCAAAAATGTGAAATTTCGATAATTACGATAATTGCTAATGTTGCAATCATTTTCTATCTCATTTTGTTTATTATATTTTCAAGTTAGTTAAAAAGCACGGAAGCTCTTTGTATGGCTAACGAAATTTTCTTAGCAATCTCTAGTAAGTTAACAGGTCTAACGAAGCCAGTGTTAGAGCTTGTGTAACCTGAGTCAGAATTTCATGGTAAAGAACTTGTCGAAAATTGTCGTCTAAATTGAATGTTTCTATTTTGATTTGCTTTTATTGTTTATGTGAAGCAGATATGCATGTGATTGCTTGTATTTTATTTATTTTATATTATTTTATTTTATTTTATATAATTTTTCAAATTATCTGTCCAATATTAGAACAAATTAAAATATATATTTGTTATTTTCATGTAAACTAAACCAATAAATTTAACTTAATTTTGTTTTTCTTTTAGTTAAATTAATGTTTAAGCTCAAAATATCAAAAATATTTTGTTTTTGATAACTTCATGCATTTTACGTTCAAGCAGAATGTCTTTAAAATTTTACGATCTTTGTATTCATAATAATACGGTCTTCGCTAGAAATCTCAAATAACCGCCACATGCGTCATCTGGCGTATTAATATTTAAAATATAAGTAGTAGTAGTCGCAACTAGATGGCGCATGCATATTTTAAATTATATATTTCATTAAACAATTTTTAATTTTTAAATTTGTAATTTTTATTTATTTAGTTTTATTCTTACATTTATACTTACTTCGGTTTTTTATTTTTAAATTTTATTTATTTTATTCATGTATTGTTGATAGTTTTCAAGTCTTCTTGATACTTCTTGATTCTTCTTCTTGTGTTAAGCCCAATATCACAAACACCAAACAATTTTGATGCACAACGTAATGGAAAAATTTGTTCGTAAAAGCTGATTCTACTCTAATTTTTTTTTTGGAACATCAACAGCGTGTCTAATATGTGTGGTCAAATAAGACCAATAAAGGTATTAGATCCAACTACCCACAGATACAATCTTTTGTAAAACATATACAGATTTCTAAGATATATGAAAATATAATATCTATCACTACCAGTAATTTTCATATGTTCCATGGAAGCAACCTACAAACGGTACTTGGTGCAATCACCAACCGAAAATGGAAATGATTCGAATTCACAAAGTAACAGATTAAAAGGATCAACTAAGAGCGTGTGGCTTCGCAGTGTTTTGAGGGAGCCAACAGAATCGATATGCGTTTGAAACTATCTGATGGAACCAGACAGAAAAGCGGAGCTTACTTAAGGTTTTTGCATTCATGAATAAATTGCTCAATTTTTTTTTTAACGAAACATATTTAATCTATTTTAGTGTCTGCCTACCCAGAAGATTAATTATATAACTGTATGATTACTGCAAACACGAGCTTAACGGATCTATATGTAATTCAAAAATTTTACTAAGGCACTATGGCTCGTAAGGAGTGAAAGGAATAAATTATATTAATAATATAAATATTATCTGTAGTCAATATATTCTATATATATATATATTTTCTATATATATATATTCTATATATATATATTCTAATATAAATTATTAATACAATTATTCATATTATTAATATAATATGGATTTTAGTGACTACCGGAACTTAGCTAAAGCAATTTATTTCAATATATGTATTTAATTCTTATATGTTACATGGTAAGCAAAATGTAATGTTTAAGATTTAGTTAATTTTCACAATTCATCCAACAACGATCACCTTTCCAGTCCATTTACTTTCTTCCTATACACTAGTTTTGAGTATCTTTAGTTGAGTTTCCTCACATCGTTTTAGATAGTTTCAAATCCATTAAGTTAATCATTTACAGAGGCATTTCTAATACTTGCAAAATCAAATTTAACACCTAAAACTATGATTAGTAGTTGTTCCAGCAAAACGTATTTCTGACACTTACTTTTACTGCTCAAATTCCAACCCTTTAATACGTTCTTATCCGAGTTTAAATTACTAATCCAGTTTAACGCAGGATCATAATATTCCAATAATGCACTGCCCTCGAGGTATGTGTTCTCCTGCAGTACTTTACCTACTACATTTGGCCAAGGTTCAGAAGAACCCAAAGCCATCATTTCTCTGAAAATCCGTATTTTTATGTACAAATATTTTTTTTTTCTTTTAATAAGCAGTTACCTTAACACATTCCCTACAGACTTGTCTCCAGAGAAATTATATTCGTGCAACTGCTCTATGCCACCATTATTCTTATGAAAAGCACTGTAAAGCTGATAGCCGAGTACTCCCCCCAAAAATTTTCTGACACATAGAAAGAAGAACGATTAACACAAAACGACAGGAGAAAACAAATCTTACATACTTTAGAATTGGGTTTTGATCCGTGTCCATGTAAAAAGTATACGAAAAATCTATTACATCTTGTGGTCGACTCTGTGGTGGCTCCACACCCACGTATCTGCACAATAATTTCCAGAAACGCTTATTAACTTCAGTTCTCTTTACAGTTTCACATAGCACTTCATGCATTACCCGCAAGTGCACATAACATATTGGAATCGATATGAACGTGCGAATGCACTGAAATGTAAAGAATAATGTGATTGCTTATACATTCTGATCTGTCAACGTACCATACGAAGTAACTGACTTAGATCATTTTCTTCGTTAAAGTCAGATTTTTTAGCTATTCCCAGAGCGATTAGGTGTTCCGGTGTTCTTGCCGAGAGTGAAACTGCTTTTCCTACTGCAAACTCAATATCGTAAGAATTAAAATAGTAAAACGGTAAATCCTTCTTTTCTCGTGCGTAATGTATGCGAGCTAAGCTCTCATGGATATGCATGAATTTCTTAAAGTTCACAACTTTGGAATACTTCATATATCCATTGGGAGTTGATGTATAAGTCAAGGGCTTGCAAAATTTATCATCGTCAGTTTTACCAAGTTGCTTCAACCGATTCTGATAAAAGTCTTTATCGAGGGGATCGAAACCTATTGATTGATAGAATATATCTGCTAGTTTAATTAATCTTAAAGGATCATTATTCTGTATAAAATCGTCATATCTTGGCAGTTCTTCATATGGAAAATATTCATCAATTATACTATTTTCCGTCCAGATTTGCATCAGAACTTGATAAATTAAATGGATGGGTATAGGTTCATTTAAATTTATAACTCCTTCGCCATACTTGAGAAAAAGCTCGTTTCGTATAAATGCATGTACTTCTACAAATGCTTCTCTTAGTTCTTCCATTACCGCTTCGATGTCTACGAATATATCAATAATATTCAGAGACTGATACCAAAAGTCCAATGTAGGTATACCTTAAAATAACATTATATCATTCTTCATTCTTATGGACAATCAATTATGGTATTTTACAAAAAAATCCGTGAAACTACAAGTTACCTAAGAGTCTTGCAGACTGTTTAATTGAATCCGTCACTGTAAAAAAGTTCAATGCCATCCATGTCATATTGATATCTCTCCATGCTACCCAATAATATGACAGTTCCTCTGGGTCGGAACTCTCAGCAAAAATGTCATGGATATCCGGATAATAAGACAAATGTGCAATAGAGCCTGGGCGGCGGTTCGAATAAGGTGGAATATTTTTAAATTTCACTAACACTTTCACAGCAGATATATTAATTAGAACCGCTGAAAAAAAGTCATCTTCTAATATGTAAAAATCTCCCACTCTTTTCAATTTTTGCAAAATATCCTTGAGGTTTTTATCACGCATTCTCTGCTTATGGAAGTTCGTTGCTCTTCGTGAAATTGCCACCAGTTCCTTTCCAACGACACTGCCCATTTTCTGCTTTGTCAATAAAAAACAGAAATCGCCACAGTTATCCGCTGCAAAATTTGCAGCGGCCAGTTTCTGATGGAGCTCAAAGCACCGGTTACTTGCATTATTAATAAATTCTATCGCTTCGGTGTCGTGATAAATTTTTGCTAAGCTAAGCTAGGAAAATATAAAATGAAAGAATCGGGGTATCAGAATGGACTATAGAAAAATATGTTTGGATGTGTTTTTGTGTAATAAAAAAAAAATACGGCGTTAAATGCCTGAGACAGTATCAGACTTTGAAGCGTTTACGTCTCATTTTTCCAGAAAGTTTATTGTTGAGCGAGTATGTGAGTATGTCAATTATTGTCGGTTAGCCATTCTAAAAACAAAATCATAGGAATATTGAAGGAATTAAGGCAGAGACGAGATAGTTCTCAAACATCATTCAAAAACCTAAGTATTAACGGTTTAGGAATACAAACATAAAATCATGATATCGGTGACAAATGAATTGTGAACTAATCACGAGAACCGAGAGATAAATAACATCTTATGATTAAGATTAGACAGGTTCGGTGGAACTGATGTCTTTAGCCTATTAGCCAAAGTCTATTTGAGCAGAAATATTGCTCTGTTGTAGATTAAGCAGATATGGAACGAAAAATCTTATGGGCTTCAGAAAAGAAAAGTTCAGGAACTACTGCAACAATATTGGGAATTTAATGGCAGCGTATTCTGTGCAACAGATTGTGGCAGACTTGATTCACGGTATCCTTTACATATGATAGATATGAAACGACAGCATTGCAATCGATTGAAGCAGCATTGGGAACCTACTTATTTGGTTGATAGTTATTTTAACAAATGAGTGAGGTGAGTAAGCTGCTACACTCTGAAGAAATGAAAAGTGATTAAAATGTACGTTCGCAAAGCAACAAATATTATGAAAAACGATCATAAGTAAAATAGAAATTATTAAAAACTTTGAAATGAAGAAAAACTCTCAACAGAAAACGTCTCGGAAATGGCGTTGTTAGCAGGAAATGGACAACCGATTTCTCGGCCCGGAAGTATCACTCTTCCTATATCTTTCATTTCTAATATTAATTTAATTTCATTATATGTCTTTCAACGTGCTTGATTGTATGATGAATACGCAGCCGAGAATGACAGACATTGAACTTATATCTCAAGTACTATATTCAGTTTCTCCAGCTAGGAGGAAAATGTGTTGAACGTAGGTGTAATACAATACCCTAACCTAAGCAACAACCACTAAGCACTTTTAGTTTTCAAGTTAGTACAATATCCACTTAACATGGGAATGCTTTATAAATTCCGTCTCCAATATTACCATTCTAGGATGGAAAACGCTTTATGAAGGAGCTTTATGATCTTAGGTGTAAAACAGGCATGCTTCACCTCAGGAATGTTCTAACCACAATACTGCAGAATGTATATGTATATTTGGTAAATATTTTATAGTAGACATATTATTAAATATAGTTAAATAATAGAAGACTTTTACTGTCTATATTTAATTATTTCCTGACTTGAAAGAAGTAATGAAAGCAAACTTTTCGAATTGTCTCAACTTCATCTGGAAAACGAAATGGCTTTACAAGGATAACAACGATTAGCAACTCGCCTCTCCCGGAAAAATTTTTGTCAGCATGCACCTTCTGAACCTAATAACCTAATTATTTCCAAAGCGTAAATGGCAAAATCTTTTCCTGTGATTCTATCTTTCAACCTATCTATAAAAATCTTTCTTAAAATGAATATCGCAATTATTTTCAATTCCTTTTAATAAATTTTTTAAATTCTATTCAATACCGTTCCTCCCATATTGATTTGAACTGAAACTATTCCATCTTCCCAGTTATTGATAGTTTATAATTCTGACGGGTTGCAGAATCGATTACTATATCTGTTAAAAATTTTGAATTTACTGCTATTCCTAATTATTTCATTTAGCAAAATTAAAAACTGTAAAATTTGAAACTTTAGTCAAAACCCACTAGTTCAGATACTTTCAAAAATTGAATAAGCATTCTGTCGAATTAATATCAAGCAATATATAATTATATAATATATATATACCTATAATACATATATATATTTGTTGCTTTGAAAGTAGACTCCATTTAGTAGCACGTTGATAAAAAAACTTTCAGGAATTTATTTAGAAAATTTAAAACACAATATTTAATCTTGATAATTGAATTCGTATCTTTTAAGGTGCTATTAATGGACAGAAGCACGCCCAAGTGAACACTTAATCCAATTTTCGAAAAATTCTTTATGGTCAAGTTTTTGTATAGCCATCAGAACCGACTTTATTATCTCTTCTAGGCTACTGAAACTCGTTCCTCCAAGTAAGTTCTTGAGTCGTTCAAACAAGAACCGAGGAAAAAGAACAACCGTGAGTGGAAGTGCGTGATCGTGAGAAATCGATAACATATTAGACTTACTGTCGACATAGTCGATGTTACATATATTAGGCTATGATGTTAAAATCAAAAAGGAAAGTTAATAACAGATAAGTATGCCAGCGGGATTTATATAACCGATTTACATTTTATGGGTAAGAGTATGGTCTTTAACTTCTTTCACCAAAATTACTATAGGGTTTCAATTAAATCAAACTGAATATAATGAAGTAATAGTTTTAGTTTCTAGAAATGAAAAGAGCTTAGATTTTTCAATGATGTTGTGGTGGCAACCACCGGCGATTACTTCTGGCATCTCTTTGACATCTGTCAAAGTCAACAGTTGTTGTAGCCCATAAAAATAAAAAAGGTATTTCATTACAAATTGTAATTTAAATGCCCAAAAGGAAGAAGAGAAAAAGCAATGTTAAGTTTTTCTATAACAAAAAACTTATCACAGTATTATATGTAATGATGTCTTCAATAAGATACTGAAGACAGAACAACTAGTGCTATACTTAAATCGTATTTAACAAAATAATTCATTCCAACGGTATTGTACTCTTTTTATATCATTGATAAGTTTAGCCTTTCCTTTATCCAACTTCTTGAATCTTTAGATCAGAAGTTGATTTTCACCAAACATAGGCGGAGATGAAAGTCAAGTTTAAAAAAATAAATTTGTGAGTTCCTGATAGTTTAAGGCGAATAGTTTAGAAAGACCAAGTTATCACCAACAGTGAGTAGAACGATTTCTACAATACTGAAATAACTGTACATCAAAACCGGCAGACTAAAAATCTTTTTAGCATTTGTTATATTAATTAGTTGATGTGTTACTTATATTATAATACTATATATTACCAATAGTAAACAAATCCAAACTGGAACCATAAAGAAACCATTGTAATGCCAGAAAAGTAAACAAACTGAAGGATGAAATAATATAATAAGGTATTTTTTTTGATTAAATTCTCCAAATTTTTTACTTAAATTTTTAAAAATTGCTCTATACTTTTTTTCGATGCTACATGGATCGAGAGAGTGGTACTAATTTTTTAAAAATATACTTTACTATTTTAGAGCAACACTTTAAAGTATATACTCTCTCAATGTCTGTTAATAAATTCACTCCCCTAACTGCGGTTTCAGCCAACATTTGCTACTTTTAGTCTATTTTTAGTTTTAACTCAGTTTCACGTAAAGGTAAGTATTTCAGTAAAGCGTCACTACTCAGTTCGACGCTATCTAATATTTTTTGAATTAACTTCTTTTCATGGTATTGAGGATCTCAATTGGATCATAGCCCTGGTAGAAAGTTACTGTAAGTAGCATACAGCAATGAACGTTTTATGTCATCGCTAATAGCTTTGCTACCAATGGTCCCCTATCAATAGATTTCTTATTAAACTCTGTAAAATTGAAAGCCTAGTATGTTGCCAACAAAGGTTCTATAAGATGTTTGGTATGTGATTCATAAACGGATACTGTGTTGGTTTTTCTCAATATCATTAAGATGAATGTTAAAAGTCTATTATAACTTACTTACGGTCAATTAGTGGTTCCACATTATAATAATAATAACAATAATAATAATTTCTTTGTTTCCGAAAGTGTTAATTGACTACATCTGTATGGACTTCATCGTAAAACAAGTCATTTATTACTTTATTATAAATAAACTCTCAACTCTAAAACATTAAAATTAGTCATTGTAAACTGAAATAGAATAAGTAATAGTAAAAAGTAATAGTAATAAATAATAGTAATAAATAATAGTAAAAAGTAATAGTAATAAGTAATTGTAATAAGCACAGCAATGGAAATAAATGATAGAAAAATTATTTCTCCTTATTTGTAAAGTTTGAATCCAGTCCAAATTCAATCAAAAATTGTTCAATGACCGGTAAAATATCTGCTTCTTCAATTGAGTATTCGAAGTTATAAGAATTGCAGAAATAAAATGTTAAAGCTTGGTTCTCTCTCTAGAGAAACAATAGTTTCTCATATATGTATATGCAGAAATCTAGAACACGACAATACTTCATGTAGACTCTAGAGGTACACCTATATCGAATATATCGGTTTTACGAAGAAGCATTTCTCATTTTCCTTTAGACGAAGCTGTAAAAGCACTACTGTTGAAAAAATGGCGCAGTCTAGTAACCAATTCCATGGCATTAACTTTGTTCTATAATAGTTTTCAATAAGACTACCGTGCGTACAAATTTATTTCATTATTTGTTTATAAAAATAGGCTGGTATCGGAGCGCCGTATTTATGATATTAGTATAATTAATTTCGTAGGAAACCATGTTCATAGGAAGCTTCCGCTTCGATAAAAATGTTTACGCAGCCTTTAAACAATATTGAGTATATATGCTACATACCAAAATGTTTAGTTAATCAACAGATTAATAAATAAATAATAATAAAGATGACAGAAGCTTTGCGACTTTTCTTATTGATTCCACTATTGTGGGTAATTCTCGACTACCTTGGAAGGGGCTCATAATCCCAAATCAAATAGGTAAAATTAAGCCAACATCAATTACGATATTTATAAATAGTCTAGAATTGTTTTAGTTGACTCTTTAGGCTTGAAATAGATCTTTTAGGTCGGGGTGCATTCATAGCCTATTATTTAATAATAATAATTGTGGGCAACTCTAGTGAAGCTCATTTTAATCCCAAATCTCTCACAAAGCTAACTAATAATATATAAATTTAAATGAGTAGTTTTTTGATCTATCAAATGTAAATCTGGACAGAAACATATTGGTAGATCAGTTACCCTAAAGTGTTTTATATATTGTAATTTAGCCATTTCTTTTAATGATGATTTTGTAACCAAAACAGAACAAAATTAGTCTGCTCTCATAATGTAAAGCTCTACCACTCTCTTAAGGTTTTCTCATTTTAATGAGAGTATTGATTTTAAATGCATTCGATTGGTTTCAACAGATATTTAGATAAAACTCACCATATTCAGATAATAAAAGTTACTTTAGATATTTGTAGTACGATACCGAACAAATTCATCATACACACGGAATCTTTCAAGTCATATTTCACAAAATCAACCTGTTAAAATTCAGAGAACATGATCTCTTAAAAGGCATCTTAGATTGGGTTGTATGACAGATATGTGGCGTTAAAGCAATGTTTCCACTCTTACCAAAATCAAGTAAAAAGATTATTTCACCTAAAAGACTAAGGGCCAATAAGGATATATGGGTCATTCTTTGAGAAATCGGACGGATTTTAGTGAATGATGACCTCATCTCCTCCGATTTGGCTGATATATTTTTATAAGCTCATTTTTTAAAATAAGAATCTCCGGTGTAGGAGGTGTTTCTCAAGCCCATATCTCAAGCTCTATAAATGATAAAAACTTGCAATTTGTTATGTTTTAAAAATCATTGGTTATAATTTAAACAATTAACTTAAGTGCTAATATGAACCGTTATATTTCAAAAAACAAATTTTTCCAAATGTATCCCGAAAATTTTCCTTTATATTTTATTTAGATTCAATATTAAATCTTACTAGGAGGAGGGATATAGAAGATAATTGTTTCAAAATTACTTTAACATTGTCTTTCCAAACACTTTGGTGTGACAAAGAGACGAAAATTTTAATAGAAATTTCTCAAAAGACTATGGACTTTGATATGGTCTATGCAAGAACAATTCCATCTAACAAAAAAATATTCTCAAACATTGGTGTTTTGTGCATTTATTTTCTTAATTTTAAATTTTATTCTAAACAAATTAAAACTAAAAAATATGGTAAATTTTGAACAAGCAAAAAATATTTATTTTGACTTCTATTCCATAATAAATAACTGAGGTCAGATATAGTAAAATATATTTTATGAAGTGACTACTTATTTTCTTTTCTTTTAGTACAAGTTC